GTTAATACTGTATGTAACAAATATGTATTTGTAAATTTTGTTCATGTCTTGTGGCTCACAAACACCTGAACTTTATCAGATGTGGCTCTTATGTGGCGACCTATGATAATAAATCCAGTTGTCAACACAGGTTCAAGATGGAAACTTTTATAATTGAACGTTGTTTGTGCAACGTTATTCTCCTTCCACCATAAACAAATATGTTGATATTTCAAGGTATGTGAACTGAGAAAAAGAAAACTTTAAATTCTGAAGCTCTGAAAGCGAATGTCGAATTGCAGTATATATATATATATATATATATATATATATATATATATATATATATAGAGAGAGAGAGAGAGAGAGAGAGATAATATTATTGGGATTTGAATAATCATAATTAAGTAATTCATCGAGTCTCGAAGAATCCTCATCCAAATGTAGAAAGCACTGGACTCATCAGCAGTGCGCATCCATTACCGAGAATCGTACAGTTACGATATGACGGAAGCGTCATACCCACTAGACCAACTTGGATTCGATATAGCGCCTCTGGGACGAAAGAAGATATATAATAATATATATATATATATATATATATATATATATATATATATTTTGAACAGGCTTCTAAAGCTCTAGATGGAGCGGCTTGGGAATAATAGACGTGACTCATGGGGGCACTTGGATGAGTTAGACAACGGAATTTGTGAAAAGCAGGCGCTATGTCGAGTCTAGGTTCTTTCCTCTTCGTCACCGAGACCCGTTGGTCTAGTGGGTAATGAATGATTCCGTCATATCGTAACGGCCGGGTTCAATTCTTTGTAGTAGATGTGCACTGCCGATAAGCCCTAAAATAGGACAGAAACGGCCGTCCAGTGATTTTGCATTTTTTTTTTTTTTTGAGTATTCTTGAGGACTCGATGAATTACTTCATGTACGATATCATATATATATATATATATATATATATATATATATGTATTCATATATATATATATATATATATATATATATATATATATATATATACACATATATATAAGTAATTCATTGAGTCTGAAAGAACTTCAACAGAATGCAGAAAGCACTGGACAGCCGTTTCGTCCTATATTTGGGACTCATCAGCAATGCGCATCCACTACCGAGAATTGAAACCCTGAGACTTTGTTCATACCAACTGTTCCACCGGACTCAATATAGCGCCGCTCGCTCACATATTCTGTGGTGTAACTCTTATATATATATATATATATATATATATATATATATATATATATATTTGGTTGGATAGATCCAACCAAATATGTTAACTCTATCTCTGATATTGAGCGCTTTCTAATAAGTACCTTTTGCATATAATATATAAATAATTATACATACTTATATTTATTTATATTTATACACTTTTCACACACACACACACACACACACACACACACACACATATATATATATATATATATATATATATATATATATATTACATTGAATTCTAATTGTTAATAAAAATAGTGCTCGGTGTAATATAATATAACATTGCTATTAAGTATATATTAATAAATATACATTTTTTTTCCTCAAAGGTAGCACGACCCGGGGTTTCATGTACACTGCAATCTTCAGGTACTAAATAGAGACTGACCGTTAATAATTTATAGGTGAATAAATATACCTGCTTATGGCATTGTTTTCACAGTCTATATATTATACGGGGATTGCAGCTAAAAATAAAAATAAAAAATTAAAATAAGCAGTATTTATAATTTATATTTAAAATAAATGGAGATTAATGTTATTTTTCTTTTAATTTGTATTTAAAATAAACATACCTATAAATATAGTTTTAAATAGATATAGCTATTACTAGTTATAGGTGCGTTTATATTAAATACGAAACTAAAAAATAATATTAATCCTAGTTTATTTTTCATATAAAATAGAAATCCCGTTTATTTTAAAGATTATTTCTTTAAACAGCAATCTCCATATAATATATGGGCTTCGCCAACATTGCGTTAGCCAGATATATTCATTAAGATTAAACTTATGTAACGGTCAATCTCTATTCAGCACCTGTATATTGCGTTGTGTATGAAACTCCGAGTCGTGCTACAGGTAAGTGAACAATTTATATATATATATATATATATATATATATATATATATATATATACAAACATGTTTGATTACAAAGACCCGACAAAGTGTGTCTGTTTAATTTTTCATTGTATTTTTTTTTAATAAGGTGTTGTGTAATGGCATCAAAATTGTGAATATACTGTCGAATTTATATTTATTTTTTGTTTTGTTCAAATATTTTCTACCCACTCGGTCATTTTCAAGAAACAATGTGGTGCCTGTGTAGTAGACAAATAGAGAAGATTCCTTTGCCTGCATTCTGGTATTCTTTGGTAAGCTTAAAGTACTTTTCTTAGACACACACACACACACACACACACACACACACACACACATATATATATATATATATATATATATATATATATATATATATATATATATATACACACACACATATATATATATATATATATATATACCGGGTGAAACAACACAATTGTACATTTGTTAGATTAAGCTTTGGACTCTTGTATCTTAGAAATGTTTAAAGGTATCTTACTGTAATTTTTCGTGGTTTTTATAACACCTATTGGACTTTACTTTGACCAATAAGAATGTATAATTACGATTAACAAAAGATTAACAAAAGAATCGTGATGAAATCGATGATAAACGAAAATGACATGTTCATCATTAATTAATCATAGCTAAGAATCGGAAGCTGATGAAGAATTGAAATTAAGTTCAAATATATACATATATTATTCCAGGATCATTTTTCAACTTATTCAAAATAATCTTCGCATTCACTAACCTTCTAACCTTTAGTCCTGGAGTAACATTGGTGAATCACACGTTTCACATAATTTGCAAGTCCTTTTTCACTGCTCTCTGGGCCGTCATCGCCGAAACTCCTCTCTCATGTGCCAGACGTGTTATGAATTAAGTTGGATCTTATCTAATTTATCTCTTTAGCTCTAAGCTGAAATAATATTCCCTCTTTCTATTGTGACTTCAGATTTTCCTCTCTACCATTTCCTGATTTTAAACTTATTCACCATTTCTTGATGGTTCTTGAATAGAATTTGAAGATGGAAGCCAGAGTATGAATATTGGTACAATTACTGAAGGTCGGAATGATCATTTCCTCTCACCATTGATCATTTGGGAAGTCAGAGGGGCTGACACAAAACTATTTAACCTGTTCTCTTTCTAGATGAATAACTCAAAGGTTTTTCAGTTATTCTTATGGCAAATGGTGTCAAGATGGTTAAACGTCTTATCTGAAAACCTGGAAAAAAGAAATTCAGTTAGTATAGTGTTTTTTAGATATTAAAAATTTTGTGTGATAGACAATTATGGTGTTACACGATTTGGACACTTTTGCTGTTACACCCGGCATATATATATATATATATATATATATATATATATATATATATATATATATATATTTATTTAAAAATATGATTCCAAAACGCGACATAAGAAGTCTCATGTTTCAAAACAAGAGCCGAAAACTTCTATATAATTATTTAAATTAAATTGAGTTAAAATAAGCTCTGTTCCATCTTCAAGCGAAATTTTTTTTTGGAATAACGTGTATCTGAGATTTACGTGTTTTAATAATTGAAATCAAAATTTCCATGGTAACAGCTAGGGTGAATTGTTTAAATTGGGTAGGCGAATGTTGGGTGTTAATAATAAGTATCAATATAGACTTACTTTCATAGATGTCAAGTCAGAGAAAGGTAGGGGTGTCTAAATTTTAAACGGAAGATGCATTAACCCTCGTCTAGTTTGCATGTCTATGGAGATTTATTTATTTTTTTATTTTATTTTTTTATGAAAGGGATTTGTGCATATAAAAAAAACTGTCGTAACGTTTGTTTTTTGACGACTTCATAAAGGGTTATCTTTTTTGTAGGGTATTTAAACTATTTATTTGGGCTATGGATTATGAAGGGTGTTATATTGTATGCAAGTTTTTAGTTAATTATTCAAACCATGAATCTGATGATTGGGCTATGGATTAAACAAGTTATTATATTTTATGCTTTTTTTTTTTAGCTAATAATTCAAGCCAAAAATCTGATGATGTCTACAAAAAACCGTTAACTCGTGTCTATTTTTTAATAGATTATTATTATTTAGAAGCTTAATAATGTGCAATTTTTCATGGAGGCATAAAGGGCATGGGTCATCCCAAGTTTTACATGTTCTAGCCTTGTTTATAATTTTCCATTTAACTTTAGGTGTCCTATTTGTTTCCTTCAGATGCCCAAAATATTTAGATAGGGAAGTCTGATTTCTTTTGTTTATATTATTGAAAGAACACTTATGCTGCCTCCAACTATCTTTAAAATCATTCTTCGTGGACCCAATGTATACCATCTCTACTTTTGTATCGAGCACTATTTTATAAAAATAATAACTAAAATACTAAGGAACTTTGGATTATTTACCTAACCAGTTCCTTCCTATTTTCTATATATTTTCACATATATATATATATATATATATATATATATATATATATATATATATATATATATATATATATATATTGTTTATTAGTGGTAAATATACACATATTTTTTTGTAGGTCTGATGAATTGGATCGTATTTACAATTCCAATGGAATAAATTATCCTTTTATTATATATATATATATAATAAATTATCCTTTTTATATATATATATATATATATATATATATATGTGTGTGTGTGTGTGTGTGTGTGTGTGTGTGTGTGTGTGTGTGTGTGTGTGTGTATAGCATTAACTCCGTGATCTAATGAAGACAAGAATTTATTTTATGTAACAAATATTTACTTTTGAATATAGTTTCCTTCTTTATATATGTATCTAAGCCAGTAGTAAAAATTTCAGATCAGAATTCACCTAATGACTATGGTCCGGGTCAGTTGTACCTGACTGATCCACTCAAATAGATAGATAGATAGATAGATAGATAGATAGATAGATAGATAGATAGATGAGCGAAAAGTGAGTATTTTCTATTGGCATTTTTAATTTCCGATATCTAATATAACTCTTTAAATTACTTTTTGCATGTTAACAAATTATCGGCCATTGGAATAAACGGCGCCATTTTTAGCTGGATTTAACGGGCCAATATGAAAACCCTAGCAATGCATCCGATACTCCAGCTGAATTTTCTTTCTTTTTCTCATGCATAAAATTGTGAGTTACCATAACAAAAATTCAGAACACGTTCCCTTTATGTTTACGTGCGCGCAACTTACCTATTTTCAAAGTGAAAGAGAAATCTTTGTGTTTGCCGACGATATGTTTGCTTGAGAATTTCTTTTTGCCATGTTTAATTAAATCGTTTGTATTTTGAGTAGCCTTCCTTTGGTTTTGTTTTTCATTGATCAAAACACGATTTTATGGATTTATGCTTTTTTTATGATAAGGAAACAAACCGAAGATAAAAGCGACTCTATTTTCTTTGTATCTGTACTCTTTTATTTTTATCTTTAGCTCGCTGTCTCTCCATCAAGCTTTTCCCCACTTATTTATCTATCCATCGCATATACATAAAGATAAATAATAGGTAGGTAAGCATATTCAGACAAATCATATATTATCAATATCTGTTGAAATGTTTGGTGGTGAAGATCAGATTTTACTTATTTCGAGTTAGTTTTAATGTTATGTCCCTTCACGACGTAAAGAATCATGGCACTTCACAGATTCCTTTTATTATCTATGAATTGTCATGTATTCTTGGAAAAATCTTACACGTTTTTAAGTCTACCATTCGTCCATGCTTTGAATATCTAAACTATCATGTCTGATCTGGTGCGTCTGGTATGTATTTAGAGATTCTATATAACATACAAAGAATCTACATTTTTATTAGTCCTGACCTGGCATTTCTATTCTACAACCGTAACGTAGCTTCTAGAAATATTTTCGTGGTAATTTTTCTGATGGACTTTTCTCTGTGTTACCTAAACTTTGGGAATTTAAGCGCAGTACTAGATTGACGACGAGGTGTCATAATTTTACATTTGAAATGGCTATATGCAACCGTATGTTCTATGCTAGCAGTTTCTTCTCTAGTAATCCTCGCTTGTGTCCTCCGGCTTCTTAGTCCCTGTTCTTTTATTGTTCTTGAATATTTGTCTCATATGCTCTCATACTCAGTAACTCCTTATGTTTTAGTGGGTTTATTGCCTTGCTTGTGTGAAATTATTAAAAGAAAAAAAACGTAGCGAAATGCTTTCACCTTACTTAGTACACTGCTTGAATTTCATTGTTTTCTTCTCTTATGCTGGTTGCCACGCAATGCTAAAGAGTTTAGTCTATTCTGCTATTTAATCCATAGATGGGAGGAAAAGAGAGTGTTTCTTACCTTTTCAAATGACATTTATACAAAAGTGATCGCAACAGTCTAACCAGGAATTTGAACTCGACTCGCCAATTTCACTTTCACGCCGAATCCTAGTTGTACATCCGCAATTCCCTCCAGTGCCAATTGTAAAAAAAAGTTGGCACCTTCTACACTTGGGATATCAGCAGAACACAACTTTTAAACTCCCTGGCAGCTAGTATATTCGAGTACTTGTAAAATTTACAATGCAGGCAAAATACAAATATCCATCAATCTATTAATCCATGTCTACCTTTTCATATCTATGTATCTGTTTATATCTGTAGATAGACACACAATCAGACATGTTTGAGCCAACTGTCTATTTATCTATAAACATCCCATCAAAGTGAATAAATAGCGATAATATATGAAACAATAAAAACAAACGCAAACAACAAGCACGCACCATCAAAAGAGACCAATAGAATAACAAAAATAGCCGAACAAATGAAAATCACCAATGGACGCCAAGTGAACTGTGCAACTAACAAAACAGAACGAGACTGAATGAAAACAAAAACGCGCTGATGCCCAAAATGCCGATAAGGTTCGAATGATGTAAGTAGACATGCCAGTGCTGAGCTCATGGGTTGGAATCGATTGGGGATTGGCACGGTCTTTTATGGCAAAAAGCACCCGGGTTTGGAGCTCATGTCGCATTTGCGCTTATCTAAGCTGCTGACGCCGATTCAGAGAGGAAGGAGTTAATGCTTATCAAAGTAAGTCCATCAATATCCGAAGTGGAGTAGGGGGTGGCAGTGGAGTTGGAGATGCGAAGTCGAAGTTTTATGAGGGTGTATAGAAGTTACGAAAGAGGGTAGAGGGCCAAGTGTTGAGGTCGGTTTGGATAGTGTCGGGTTTGGAGATGGTAGGAGTTATGTTTAGTTATCGAGGGTGGAGAGGGCGCCAGGTTCGGAGCAGAAGCGGCAAAGGAAAAGGAAATGATGGTCTGATCCATATCAGTAGTCACTGGTAGGAGTGGATTTATGTATACGATGGATTTGGGGAGGGTGTGACTGGTGTGGTTGCAGATAAGAGAGATAAGGAAACAATGGTGTGGATACAGTTCAAGAGAATACAATAAAAAAAAAGAGAAGCAATGGTAGTAAAGGAATTATGAATGTTAGAAGAAAAAAGAAATGAAGGAATGAATGAAACAGATTGGAAAACAATAAGCGGGAGGAGAAAATTAACATAAGACTGAAAATAAAAAAAAAGAGCGGTATAGAGAAATTAAAAACAAGAGAAAGAAGGAAAAAGAAAAAGATGAAAAGAAAATCATTAAAAAGGAAGACAACAGAAAATAATTTATAAAAAGAGGAAAGGAAAAGAAACAATTATAGAGTGAAAAAGGACGAGTAGAAAAAAATGAAAGAAAGGATTAAAGAAAACACAAAGATGGCAAAGAGGAAGTTTTCAAACAATTAGAAATATGAAGAAAAAAGACGAAAGAAAATAGGGTGTGGCTGTGAAGGAACTGATGTTACGGTCAGAAATAATAATGTAGGCGTGGAAGGAAGGAAGGAAGGAAGGAAGGAAGGACCCTATAGCGAAAAAATATAATCGAAAGAAAAACATACAAACAGGAGACAAACATGTGATATAAAATTATATAACAATAGAAAACAGTGAGAAATAATAACAGAATGCGCCCACGTAATATATTTGCAAATGTATCACTATCATTATTATCATCATTATCATCACTATCATTATTTATCTGCTTTGCGAAAAGCCAATTGTTCAACATGCCCAATGGTACTTTCGTCGAAGTAGTAGTATTAGTTGCAAGAGGAGGATAAAAAAAGATTGAAAACAAAATGAGGATAGAGTAAAGGAAAGGAAATAAAATGTAAAAACTAAGGAAGATGTATTAAATTGTGCATCCGTCATGTTATCCACCATGATCATTGCATTCATAATTGCTGTAATAATTACCGTTATTGGCAACATAAGAGATTTTTCATACTTAGAGATGGTATGGCCTAGCAGTTAGAAAACTAATTTTAATATCTCAGTATTTAGTAACTGGCTGTCCATTCTAGTTATAAATCAAATCGTGAGTGTTCTTATTTATTGGATTAAGCCACTTATGGCACAGATTCTTATTCTCTGGAAGGTTTACTGAAATTAAGGTCGAAGGTTCAGTTCATTTTTCGACGTAATCATAATGTAGATTTGCATGAGAATGCAATCACCAGAGACAACATTGCTATCGTTTCACTTACGATGACAATATTAGCAAAACTAATAAATTGGTGTGTGAATGTCTACATCAATAATAATATAAACCATTTTTATGCAAACGTTTCGTTGATGTTTCATCTGCAGTTCATAAGGATGTATTGCGAGTAGAAATCTTTATTCACTAAACTCTAAGTGGAATAAATTCAATTCAAAATATCCGATCCCATTGACTACACAATATTTTGGATGAATCAAGTGTAGCAAAACGCTACTTATCAAAACATAGACTTGGGCAAATAATTAAATTTAATGAAGAGCATTTATTAATTATAACATATTTGATCTGATGGGCCTTACTGCTCTGCTACGAAGTACGTCACAGCCAGGAAGGCTCTATCTTCACTTTTTAGGAAAAGCATATCCTAGAAACTTACCTAATGTCGCACAAACACACACATATATATATATATATATATATATATATATATATATATATATATATATATATATATATATATATATACGTTTCATTAAATAATATAGACAAAGTGTTGTCTATTTATTTTATGTAAAATTTTATGTAAAAATTTTACATAAAATAAATAGACAACACTAATCTATATTATTTAACATCATCAATATATATATATATATATATATATATATATATATATATATATATATATATATATATATTAGATAACAGTATATACTTTTATCTATCAAAAAACAATACTTGGGGAAAAATGTATGTAGTGTAAAAAAAATATATATATATGTGTGTGTGTGTGTGTGTGTGTGTGTGTGTGTGTGTGTGTGTGTGTGTGTGTGTGTGTGTGTGTGCATGACAAAGTAGAAAAAAATTTTCTTGTGACGGGTCTAATCCTTTAGACCTTCATCGAGCTAAATTAGTCTGATGAAGTCCTAAAGGAAGTCCTACGAAACGCGTCACAAGAAAACTTTTTCCACTACATACATTTTCCCAGTATTGTTTTTGATAGATAAAAGTATATATCGTTATCTCATATATATATATATATATATATATATATGGGGGGGGGGATAACGATACATAAGTTTATATATGATTTTGGAGTAAATATTTAGGATAAGGTGGAAAAGGTTTGGGTGTGGCGCGTTTCGTTCCTTAGGATTTCATCGGACTAAGTTTGTTTACGTTAATGTGATCACACATGTACACGAGTGAGAGTTGCTGGAAAATTTACATTCAAATTTTTTTTTTATCTGTTTCTAGTCACTTTTATTGAGATTGTTTTCCTTTTTATTTCCATCATCTTTGTTCTTATGTATCTAACATTGTGATAAGAGGTCTGCCAAAAATTGTGAAACGTTATAAGAAGCTCGACGCAAATTCAGTGTGGGTGAACTGGCGATTAAAGCATCTTCTAAGCAATTTCGTCTTAGTGAATCATTTACACTTTTAAATTGAGTAGCATTTTTTTTTTATGTCGGAATTATGGTCAGTCTCGTTACGCGGAGCAACTAATATGCTTATGTGTTTTATTTTTTTTTTTTTGTTTTGTTTTTTTAAATGTCTCTTTTGTGTTCATATAATCTTTTATTTAAACGTCTTAAAATATGTATAAGGTGTTTATAATATGTATAAAATATTTAATATATACGTTTACTGGTGATGTCAAGCTCCAGGAAATCGTTGTATATTTATGACTTCAATTATATAACACATTTATATTTAAATCTGAAAAAACAGCCACCCCCTACACACAAACCACTATTCTGCCACTGGGTGGCATACCACTAGCGTTTACTGATGGTGTGCCGCTGTCGAACCACCGGTTTGTTCGTTTCGGCAATATTACCACTGGCCGTCCTCTCGTAGCCCGACAGTGGCTGCCACCAGAGGACTTGTCGCTATTCACTTCAGCCAACCGTTCCATATTACTGAGGACATCAGATGCGTGCTTTTAGCGCCTTCATTCAACAGCCGATAAGAATGACGCAGATTGGAGTTGAAATATATTTTCAAAATAAAATTACACATTGACGTATTAAGCAGGGATTTGGTTTTACTCAGAGAATATAATTTTCACAGGGAGCCCTCTAACCCACAACACCATTTCTCGGAAGAGTAAGTCCCACTCATTCCTTGTCTCGTTAAAAAAAAGGGCACAGGTATGTACGAAAATTCTGTCTTTACAATTTTCGAGCTTCAGTTCAGTAAAACGGCTAATATACAATAAATACCTAATTGTCAATATTGATATCATTTTGTTGGCTATTTATTCCTCAAACTTTATTAAGTGGCCTACTAAATCCCCACAAACATACACACACACACACACACACACACACACACACACACACATATATATATATATATATATATATATATATATATATATAGGTCAAATATATAAAGGATTTGTCTCTAAACATGGGTGAAAGAAGAGAACTAAAGCGGAATAATCAATCTTGATTTTCTTCTAGACGTAATTATATTTTTCTTCTAGACGTAATTATATTTTTCTTCTAGACGTAATTATATTTTTCTTCTAGACGTAATTATATTTTTCTAACTGAAGTCTTTTCACGAAATTGGATTAATATGAAATACCACAGTTTTAACTCACTCTCCATATTTAAAATTGTATTTTTAAATAAAACTAGGCAGATTTTTAAATAAATCCCATTTTTCTGTTTTTATTTTCTTTAGTTTTTTTTTTTTTTTTTTTGTTACTTTTTTAGGTTACTGGCAGTTTTTTTTTTCAGTCGGAAAGGGAAACTAGAAACTTTTAAAATGCAAACGTTAAAATCAACCTCAGTTCCATGTTAGAAAATACTGCGTAGTAAAGAGATAAGTCTAAACATGTTTGGATGTGCAAAATGTCTTACACCATCTGCTTCCGCAATAATCGATAGATCAATTTATCGTGAATTTGCAGTTGCCTCGGTCTGTCCTCGTTGTTTTGTTTAACATTTTTTTTTAAATTATATGTGTGTGTGTTACTCGTCTCTTTGTGATTTTAATCGAATCCTACAATTATTGTAGTTAACGGGCCGCAACTAACGTTTTCTACAAGTCCTTGGGTCGTTAAATTGAAGGGTATGTCTGAAGCCAGACATAAATAAATTACCACTATGTGCACGTGGATGTGAACCGCCGAACGTAGTCAAAGACAAAGATGAATCCATATGATACAGAGGTTTGCTATGAAATTCTCCCTGTATAATATCCTATGGGATTAAAATTCAGCACTGCATTAATTAGGATAATTTTTTCAGCATTAAATCTCACATTGATATCCATAATTTTTATATATGTTTATTCATATATATATATATATATATATATATATATATATATATATATATATATATATATATAATAAATAAAAAGTATAAAATTTAATATTACAAGACATATTAAAACAATTGTTTTAATATGTCTTGTAATATTAAATTTTATACTTTTATTTCGATCATTAAATTTACCTATAAAAATATATTTAATATATATATATATATATATATATATATATATATATTCAATTATATATATATTCAATTATATATATATATATTCAATTATATATATATATATATATATTATATATATATATATATATATATATATTATATATATATATATATATATATATATATATATATATATATATATATTCAATATATATATATATATATATATATGTGTGTGTGTGTGTAAAGAGCTTATACATGGTGCGATGGGTAAATTATCGTCATTTTATATTTTAAATTTTCTACATGCGTGTTGTATTTGATTTTGTCGACTGCGCATTATAGTAAGGTCAGTTGGGCACCATCTGTGAGAAAAAGAGCACTATGACGCAATTCACTTGGGCAGATATTTGGAAACGGCATGCTGTACTGCTTGAAACCGGAAACTCCAATACAAACATTTCAGATTGTTTGGGTATCAATCTGAGGACAGTGCAGAAGATTTGGAAAGAGATCGATGTGATTACGAAGGTACGACAGCTCGGAAAACTCACTCTGATCGTTCTGATAAGAAAAGAACTCCCGAATTTGTTGGTGAGGTCCTCAGACTCAACCTGGAGGCCTGGATCAAGTGTATTGAAGAGATAGTGCTATCCTGGGTCAGTGCTGCTGGAAGACCCTATGTCTGGCAACAAGACTCTCCACCGTGTCACAGGAGAATCCATCTTGTCTGTCAGACAATTTCTGCAACCACATCAATGCTTACATCTAACCTAAATCCTCAGACTGCAATACCTGTGATTATTATATGTAGGCACAGTTAAGTGAGGCACCAACAAAACTCCTTGTAAAATGAAAGTTGACCTGAAGGCAAGAATTTTGGTAAGATTCACCAACTTAAACCAGAAGACTCTCGAGAAGTGATTCCGAAG